TCTGGGTATGTGGAGATCAATTCGACGGATCGGATCCAATCATCAAGCATTTGGAGAGGCAGGACGCATCCAGCGCAACGTGCTGGGCCGTGCCGGAGTGCGAGTGGCCACAGCCGGGGCAGAACTTATTCAACTCGTCCCTTGCCATTTACGAATCAGGGGAAAATTTGGGGAATCGTCCTGGTACATCTGGTCAGGAGCCGCAAACGCAAGACGGGTCAAAGGTATGCTCACAACAAAAGAAACGATGCCAATCTCCCTGAATACCGGCACCAGTTAACAGGGTCTGCAGCTTCCCATATTAGTAGAGTTTGAACGACATCCAGGGTTCCTTTCGCTCACGCTGCGCCATGCTTCGTCCGTTCTGGATCAACCGCAAGGTCAACGCCTCGCGAATACCCTTCTAGCGGCACTGGAGAGCATCACATCCAGACACCCCTCGCGGCCTGTTGCAGACCTGGAGTTGATCGCAGAAGACGATTTGCAACAGATATGGGAATGGAACCGCTCCATTCCTAACCCACCGAACTTGTGTGCCCACCACTTGTTCGAACAACAAGCGCGCAGTACTTGCAATGATCCGGCCATCGCCTCATGGGATGGCAACATGACATATGCCGAATTGGATCGCTGTGCATCCGTCCTCGGGGCCCACCTCTCCAGTCGGGGTATCGGACCGGAGATGATCGTGCCAATTTGCTTCGAAAAGTGCCGATGGACTGTGGTCGCCATGATGGCGGTGTTGAAGGCAGGAGCTGCCTTCGCTACCTTGGATCCCGCACAGCCTACAGAGCGTCTCGATACCACCATCGACGAGACGAAAGGAACTCTCGTGATCGTGGCGTCATCTCAGGCGGGCAGGTTCGACCGCAGCGATCGCGAAATCCTCACCAACATCCCGGAAATCTGCCAACAGCCAGATGCGCTGCCGTTTACCGCATTCAGCTTGAGTGTGCAGTCCAGCAACCTGGCCTATGTCGCCTTCACCTCAGGCAGCACTGGCAAACCAAAGGGCGTGATGCATCTGCATTCTGGTGCATGCTCCGTCATGACCATGAAGGATCGAGGTGGCCAGGACACCGGGTACGGCCCCGGGTCTCGCATCCTGCAATTCGCCTCCCAGGCGTTTGCCGCCAGCGTAGTGGAGATCCTCAAAACGCTCGGCAATGGCGGGTGTTTATGTATTCCCTCTGAAGAAACCCGTCTCGGAAACATAGCTAACTTCATGGCGGAGAGAGCTGTCACCCGCGCGTTCTTCACGCCGTCGTTACTCAAGCTTTTCACGCCTGAGAGCTTTCCCACCTTGCAGATCCTGCTGGTGGGCGGAGAGCCAGTCTTGCCAGATCTCATTCGAGCATGGTCCGGGAAACTGAGACTCATCGAGGCCATCGGCATGACCGAAGGAGTTGCCATCCAGACCACGATCACCCCGGACGGTCAGGTGGCCCAGATCGGCCAGACGATGAGCGGCGCTGCGTGGATCGTGGACCCAGAAAACATCCATAAATTGGTGCCCATCGGCGCCGTTGGAGAGCTTCTGGTGGAAGGGCCCTGCTTGGCGAAGGGATATCTCCATGACGACGAGAAAACCAACGCATTTGTGGATATGCCCCTGTGGTCGGCCAACGGTCCTGACCATCATCTCAACCGCAAGTTCCGCCTCTATCGTACAGGCGATTTGGCGCGGTACGTCAACGATGGAGTTGTCCGGATTCAGGGGAGGAAAGACTCCCGAGTAAAGCTACACGGGCAGCGCATCGAACTCGGAGATGTCGAGCACCACATGCAGGCTGGGCTACCAGACTCGATGGCAGCCGCAGCCGACGTGGTGGCCCCATACGATGCCGATGATCAGCCGTTCTTAGTGGGCTTCGTATTTGCCAGCAAGGAGCTAGGGAATCCAAATGGCCCCGGATGTGACCTGGCATCAGAGACCACACGCGAGCAGATTGCCCCTCTCGTGCCAGAGCTCAAGCTGCAAATGGCCCTTTCGTTGCCATCGTACATGGTCCCAACAGTTTTCCTTCCCTTGGAATGCCAGCCAACGAATACATCGGGGAAATTGGATCGAAAGAGGCTGCGTCAAATCGCATCAGCGCTTTCCATCGAACAGTTCCGGTCTTTCACTCATCGGGCGACCACGACAAAGACACCTCCCTCTACACGCACGGAGAAGATTCTCCAATCTCTGTGGGCGGATTTGTTCAACGTAAACGCAGACCAAGTTGGGTTGAGCGACGATTTCATCATGTACGGTGGGAACTCTGTGACAGCCGTCAAACTGGCCGGTCTGGCACGAGCCCGGGGGATTCGTTTGACGGCGGGAGGCATCCTCCAGAATCCCGGGTTGCAAGAGATGAGCCTAGTAGCGAAGGCTGTTGATTCTGCAATGCCTGATCCAAGTGCAGACACCAACACAACCCTTACCTTCGACTTGGAGACGCTGCAACACGCCATCTCGCCGGGGGAGATCGAAGCAGTTGCGCCTGCCACGGACTGGCAGGCTTGGACAATCTATACCGGCTCGTTGAAATCGCGAGGATGGACGGATTACCTTTATTTTGATTTCCGAGGCGCCCTTGACATCTCACGCCTGGAGCACGCTTGCAGTTGCATCGTGGCACACTTCCCCATTTTCCGAACGGTTTTCGCCGTCCACCGCCGACGGATGCTGCAGATCGTGCTGCGAAATTCTCCAGTGGAGCTCATTCAACATAAGGGGAGAGGAGAGACAGATGATCCCGACGCTGTCGCGAAACAGGTTCACGATCGCGATCTCGCTAGCACTGTGTCCATGGGCGACCCAGTCCTGCAGTTTACTCTCGTCCAGCAGGACGTGGAGCACAATGTCCTCGTTCTCCGGATCTCGCATGCCCAGTATGACGCGCTCAGCCTTCCTCTGCTATTTCGAGCAATCAAAGACGCATACAACGGCCTAGCTCTCCAACCTGCGCCCTCATTTATGGATGTGCTCCATTGCACGCAGGATGAGGATATCAAAGCGTCGGTGCGATTCTGGCGTGATCGCCTCCAAGGGTCGCTGATGACGCAAATTCTCCCTCGATCGAAGCCCACCTACCACAACATAGTGAACGAAGCGATGACGCGGACGATTCCTCTCCCTTCCCTGCTGCACCACCGCATCACCACGGCTGCCATCGTCCACGCTGCCTGGTCAATTGTTCTCGGCAATCTCTCGGGCGCTTCCGACGTGGTCTTTGGTAGCCTCATCTCCAGACGTCATTCGTCCCTGAGTGGCATTCAAGACGTTCTCGGCCCGTGTTTGAACATCACCCCGGTGCGGACGCAGTTCAGCCCTTCGATGACTGTCGTCGATCTTCTGCGGCAGGTCCAGGCTCGCCAGGTGGACTCGCTTCTGCATGGACATGTCGGTTTCCGGCACATAATCGAGGCATGTACGGATTGGCCATCCTGGATCCGCTTCAGTTCGATCGTCAATCATGTACACATTGCGGAGAACATGAGTCCTGTGGTCCGTCTCCGGGACGACCTGACGTTCCAGTTTGATGTCTTCGAGCCAGCGCACGACAAGTCGGATTTATGGCTGCAGACGAAGCCTGCCGGGGAGGAGATGGAAGTTGAGCTGAGATTCTGCGGGGCCGTCATTCCCAGGACACTGGCGGAGCGAGTGTTGCAGCGGTACTGTGAGGTCATCCAGCGTCTTCAGTCCGACGTCGATGCGCCCCTTTCGTCCCTCGTCAGCAGCGAGGTAATATCCTTCAGCCTTCGCGCACCGCGTACTGTGACCTCACACGCGATTCTTCCATTCGTGAAGGCGACATGGCGGGAGGTGTTGTTCCGTGATGGCGAAGACACCGAGAACATCTCTATGTCCATCCCCTTCTATGAAGTGTGGGGAGACCTAGCTGGTGCGACTGCGTTATGCCAGATTTACCGCCGCAGAGGATTTGATGTTAGCGTGGAGGATGTCGTGGATAACCCGACCGTGGAAAAGCAGCCGCAGCTTTTAGCTTCGCACCCATTGCTGAATGGCGTTTGAGAGGAGGTAATATACAATCCCAGGCTCCTTACATGATCCGACATGGTTCGAGATATCTATCTTTCCTTTAATCTTTTCCCTTTGTTGCCTCCGTCCATGTGGGTTTTTGTTTTGCGGAAGGACTACCTACCTTCAGATTCCAGATGATTGATAATCAGAATAGCATAGTTATGTCGAGCATGGTTGTCCAATACCATGAGGTGGGAATGGTACACTCACATGACTTGACACTGATGCCAACTAGGCCCTATCTTGTATGCACATTAGGGACTCTAGGCATTTCTGAGTACCGCTCCGCACGAATCGAATCGAATCGAACTTTTGCCTGATTCGATTCGATTCGAATTAATATTGAAAATAACTGTTGAGTATCGCGGTGGTCAAAGCTTATGGCAGGACTAGCGATGGACATTTAAATAGACGGGGTTCCCACTTTTGATAGTAACCTCAACAAGTACACTACAACTACCTATCTCAACAGGTTATGAGCCCGGGTGGCTTTACCTTTGGGCACGCAGGCATATCAAGAAAAAAAATCCTTTCCCTGCCATTACAGCTAAGCTTCTCTATCAGAAACTAACTCCATGAACTTCAGAAACTGATCATATATTCTCAGTAACTTGATGAACAATATGAAGTTCTATTGCTCAAAACCCTCTCAAAGCAATAACCTGGATGAACTTCCATTCACTGAAGACTTACAGACAGCATGCCATCAATGCTACTGTTACACTGTCACACTGGCACGGAGTATCGCAGGGTTGTCCCCATAGCCAGGACATGTCACCGTTTGCAGCAAGCCTCGGGAGTTTCTCCGGCAAATAGCCATTGACAGTATGCCATTATTGCTACGGTTACACTATGAAGCTGGCATGAGGTACCGCAAATGTTACCTACTGCCGGGACATGTCACCATTTGCAGCAAGCTCGGTAACCATCTTCTCAGAGTCACCAGCCACAATGCCATTTCGGAAGAAAAATGCGGAAAACACTACAAAAGAGACACTCTTGGACGGACGAGGAGCTGAACATCCTCTCATACCTCCGATACACTCGCCATTGGCGCTTCAAGAAAATCCAAACGTCCTACTTCCCATTACTTTCTCCGAACGCACTCTTGGGAGCCTACTGGCGCCTGTCCACCGAAGACCGCATACGCCGAGCATCGAGGATCACCACCTCAATCATCGCTCCTCGCAACACTGGAGAAAACCTCTCAGGTTCCCCCCAAGCTCAACCCACATGTTCCAGTATCGCACAGGGGACAAGTCGCTATCGCACTCTTGCTCAGTCAGAAAACAACATTGAGACTTTGGCCTTCACCTCACCAAGCCCTGCGGGTGGAGGGGATCCATTCATTTCCGACAACAGCAATTCGAGTCGTTACAAACTCAGGCCAAACAGACCCTCAATCTTCCCTCCAAGGAAGCCGGGATATCTTGTTGACCGACGTCGTTTCCCCCACTTCTTTAGATCGTACAAGTACTCTCTCAATCTACAAGGAGTCCCGGACAGCGACTATACTCCTCCATCTCGGATGCCTACGCCAAGTTCATCAGATCGAAGCGTTTCCATCGTCTCAAGTCTTCCCAGTGCCGCGTCAAGCCTTGAACTCTTTGGCTTGGAGGTGCGCTCGCCTCAGTCATCAAATAGTGAATCGGTTACCTCTGATCGGCCCAACGACATATCTAGCCCTGAATTCTTCAGCTCCGAGGAGCATCCTTTGCCGACATGACTGAAATCACAAAGTTTGAGCAATTCGGAATCAATACGTTCTATAACGGAATCCCAACATTAGATAATGCCAGCGACTGGTTTCGGTGGAATCAGAAGGTCAATGAGTTCATTCGGATATCTGCGGTTGCCGACGATGGAGCGACTCCACCGATAGAAGAGGAAGAAGCACGGCAATGGATTCACCGCCAAAATTTCTATTCTGCGATGATCACGGCAAAGCTGACACACAATGCGGCGCAAAGAATCAATGCCTTTGAGATTCCTCGAGTCCAAGTACTGCTTAAGGCAGTCAAGGACAACTTCAAACCAGAAGGCTCAGGCACGTATGTTAACCTCCAACGGCGATACATGGCCCTTACAAGAGACAAGTGTGGGAGCACTCAAGCCCTCGGAGCAGAGATCAGGAAGATCCATGCTGAAAAACTCCTCCTTGACTCTGATTGCGTAACCTCCGAAATTGAGCGAACATTTTTCTTCGTGCATGCACTCGGTCCGGAGTACGAGAGCTTCCGCGATCATATCTTCCGACAAATGGACCTTGTCAATGAAAGAGACGCAAATGGGACCGTCACGAAAGCGGCGCCCACGTTCGACTATATCGAGAATAAGGCAATTGAGGAAGAGCATAGGAAGGGGCAATTGGGTAAACAAGCAATGGAGACGCAAGCACTTCCTGCTCTTGCTCTAGTCCGTGGGCCAGGTGACAAGAAACTCATCCCGTCGTCGGACGGAACTACTTGTCGAATCGAGATCGATAACGTCCCATATTGCTCCTTCTGCCGAAAACCTTATCACGTTGACTCCGAATGTTTCACCAAGAATCCGAAACTGAAACAGAAAGACGGAGATGGACCGAAGCCAAAGCCAGGCAGGATGCATACGGGCACACGCAAACAGTTGAAGAAGCGGCCTTCGACGGATGACGAGGATGACGATGCGGGTGGTCCAAAGGATCCGAAGAAACCAACTTTCATGGCGACGAGAGCCTCCGAGAAAGATGTCAACGAAGCATTTGGAAACGATATCGAGGGCTATTTCGCCCTGTCCGACCATATTCCCATAATGATGGCGATAAAAACCCTCTCTATTCGCGACGCGTGGATCGTGGATAGTGGATGCGCTCAGCACGTCTGCAATAGTGCCTCGAGGTTTGTCCAAATGGCCAAGTACCATGGCCCCTCACTTACAGGCGTTGACACCTCAACGGCTCCCTCAGGAGTGGGAACAGTGAATATCCTTTGCAATGTACGCGGCAGAAAGAAATGGCTTGTGCTTGATAACGTCCTCTATGTTCCATCTGCACACGCCAATCTCATATCGGTGCTCCAGCTTCTCAAACGAGGAGCAAAGGTCGAATTCTCAAGCCGGAGTGCTATCATTCGCAACAAGTCAAACGAAAAGAATCTATATACTGCCAACGAATATCATGGAGTCTACGCACTCGATCTGTGGACAAGTCTGACTTTTCCCTCTTACCATGTTAGCCCGCAAATGTCTCTGTGGCACAATCGACTTGCTCATATGAGTGATGCAAATCTTCGGCGACTCAAAAAGCAGGCTCACGGTGTTCGGGACATGGAGCCACGTCATCCATGCAATTCGTGTCTGCAGGGGCGAATGATCGAAAAACCCCACCGCAGATCAGGAAATAGCAGGAGAGGCGAACACGCAATGGAGCTCCTCCATATTGACGTTGCAGGGCCATTTGACGAGGGCCTTGACGGCAGTCGTTACTGGCTCACCATCGTTGACGACTTCACGGGCTGGATCGAGATTATCCCTATACCACGAAGACAAGAGTTCGTCATAGAATCACTACGGTTCTTCCTCGACCACAATGAGCGCCCCGAACGAAAATGCAGGCGAATACGTCTCGACAGAATATCTGAACAAGTGGGAGACGAGATGAAGTTCATGTTGCTCTCGCGCGCAATTCAAGCTGAGGTGACAGGAGTGGATCAACACCAGCAGAATGGGGTTGCCGAAAGAGCTCACAAGACAATTTATGATCGGGTTGGGCCTACCTTAGCACATGCGAGGTTGCCGTCTACATTCTGGCCGGAAATTGCTCGAACCGCAGCGTTCCTCTCCAACCGGTCGCCGTCATCGAAGCTCAACATGACTCCGTACCAAGCGTGGTATGGCGACAAGCCTGACCTATCACGACTCAGAGTGATCGGATCCAAAGGGGAATACTTGATCCCGCCAAAGCAAAGAAAGAAGCTTACGGATCCACGAACAAGGCCATGCATTTTGCTAGGCTATGAAGGAAATACCAACTACCGTATCCTCCTGGAAGACGGTAGAATCGTTGGGACTCCAAACGCCGAATTTCACGAAGTCCTTACAGCTCCCTCCACACAGACTATAGAAGATGCGGGAGCCAGACAAGACGGCTTACCTGAGGCAACGGCTGCTGCCGCAGGGGGGAGTGAGACGGTGGGACTAATAAACCAACCGTCGGTAGGCATACGGCAAGCATCCGTGCCTGCTTCGGGGCGCCAATTGTCAATGGCACCATCGGAGCGGGCCCTACCTAAGCCGAGAAACGATATCTCGCACATACTGCCTCGGAGTAACGATAACTCGCGAGTGCTTACCCAGCCGAGTAACGATAACTCGCAAACCCCAGCGTCGTCTCAATCGAGTAACGAAGACTCGCAGCCAGCTGTTGCTGTACAGGGAGACAGGACCTTGTCGTCCATACGGAGTGACGATGCCCTCGGACCTCTATCACCTGCTTATCAGGATTCTGTCCTTGGGATTGACTCACCACCCGGTGGCGACCAGCAACAAGACGGCGCTCGGCAAGGGCTAAGTTCAGGAGAATGGCAACGATACTCAGAACTCCAACTTGACAACCCAGTTCATGAAGTGCAACAAGGAGCACTAGATCATCACCCTGAAATGAAGATTCGTGCTCCACAAGTCACACTAGACACGTCTGATGAGAGCGAAGAAGAGCTTGCACTAATGAATATACCCGAAGAGAACATCATCCCAACACTCTTAACGGTAGCTGCAGAGGAAACAGAACCGTTTGAGCCAAAGAATCTGCATCAAGCGAAGAACGACACAAGCTGGCTCGAATGGAAAAGGGCAATGCTTGAAGAAGTGAACTCACTCAAGCAAAACAAAACGTGGGAGCTTGTTGATCCCCCCAAAGACCGGCGAGTTCTCAGTGGAAAATGGGTCTTCAAACTCAAACGAGGACCTCACGGCAAAGTACTCCGCCATAAGAGCAGATGGGTGGTGAGAGGCTTCACACAAGAAGACGGTATTGACTATGATGAAACCTTTGCCTCGGTTGTCAAGCCAATGAGCTACAAAGCCCTCTTCGCAATCGGAGCGGCCCTAGACTTCGAGATCGAGCAAATGGATGTCAAAACCGCATTCTTGTACGGACATATAGACCACGAGATCTACGTCGAACAGCCCCATCGCATGACGGATGGCACTCCAAGGGTCTGCAAGCTTCGAAAAGCTCTCTATGGATTAAAGCAGGCTCCTCGCATCTGGTACCAGACCCTCACGAACTTCCTGCGCAATCTTGGCTTCGAGCCAATCACCGCCGATCTTGGTATCTTCGTTCGGAGCAATATGTACATCGCGGTATATGTTGATGATCTCCTGATCGTGGGTCCGAGTATCGCAGAGATCAAGAAGATCAAGCGGAGCCTAAGGAACCGTTTTCAGATGACAGATCTGGGCCCATGCAGCTACTACCTTGGGATATCCATCCAGCGAGACCGCCAAAACAGGAAACTGTCCCTCAGTCAAGAAGCATACATTGACAAGGTTGCTCATCAATTTGATATTGGCAACTGCGCTCCCATCGGCACGCCGATAGAAACCTCACCGCTTCCAGAGAACAGTCCAGACTATACGTGCCCTCCAGATCAGAGGACATCTTACCAACGCATGGTCGGATCTCTGATGTACATTATGCTTGGAACCAGGGGGGACATCGCGTACGCAGTCTCTGTGGCGAGTAGGTCTCTGGCAAATCCTGGGCCCCAACACATAAAACTCGCTCAACGCATCCTGCGGTACCTCAAAGGAACCAAGAGCCTCAGACTCGTGTACAAGGGTCAGCCTCAGAAACTGAAAGGCTTCACAGATGCAGATTGGGGAGGATATCGTGACACGAGCCGATCAACAGCTGGGTATCTCTTCAATATTGGAAGTGGGGCCATCAGTTGGCAATCGAAACGCCAGGGCATCGTTGCCCTCTCAACGTGCGAAGCCGAATTTCTAGGGCAGACACAAGCCACCAAAGAAGCAGTCTGGTTGAGAAGGCTTCTCAACGAATTGAATATGAATCAAGGATTAAACGCCACGATCATCTGCGGGGATAACCAAGGGGCCATTGCCCTCTCCTCGAACCCACAATACCACTCTCGCACAAAACATATGGAAATCCAACGCAAGTGGCAGGGAGAGGTCCAAGACAACGGAACAGTGAAGCTCAAATATATCCCAACCACAGAACAAATTGCTGATGGGTTCACCAAACCCCTTGCTCGGGAAAGATTTGAGTGGTTTCGGAAAGGGCTTGGCGTTGAGTGACTGCTACACCTTATTTGTATTGAACAAGACTAAGGCGCAGGGTACCCTTTCCTTCCTTTCTTCTCAAAATGAAGTTTTTTGAAGGTTTTAATGGGACCCGTCACAATCGCGATCACATAGTCACTGACACCATTGGTGATGGTGGCCATCGAGTGGGAGTGTTGAGTATCGCGGTGGTCAAAGCTTATGGCAGGACTAGCGATGGACATTTAAATAGACGGGGTTCCCACTTTTGATAGTAACCTCAACAAGAACACTACAACTACCTATCTCAACAACATCAACACATCAACACATCAACACATCAACACATCAACACATCAACACATCAACACATCAACACATCAACACATCAACACATCAACACATCAACACATCAACAGATCAACTCTCAACTCTCAACAGATCAACTCTCAACTCTCAACACATCAAAACACCACCACATCAACACTCTCACCAATTCTCACCAACATGTTTGCTCTACGCCTGAATGAAGGGTGTCAATTTCACTACGCGAAAGGACTATCGGACCGCAAACCATCAGTGCAGAACATTTGGGAACCTCCCCTTTGATAAAAATGACACTTTCGTTGTTATATAATGTTGGCCATTGAATTTGGGACGATCTATCTAGGGCTCATTCTATCTGTCCAATGATGATCCTTCGGAAAAAGCAACAGACTATGAGGAGGTTGGGCAGGTCTTTGCTTCTTCGAATACTGTTGAATATCGAATACTGGTCTCTAACACCACGAAGAGGTGCCTGCACATTGCTAGAGGGCTTGTTAACGCAGCAATCCCCTGCAGAGCACGTTTGTTGACGCAGAGCTCGTCCTGCGAAGCACCTTCTTACACTCGCGGGGCTCAGGGCAGCGAGGGAGCACATTTTTACATACACAGGGCTCATTGGCTGTGAGGGAGCGCAAATCTTACATCGCTGGGCTCGTGGCAGCAACAGCCGTGGTCACGGAAGGTCTGGAGTTCTTGGTTTCGTAGAGCCCATCCTGCGAGGCACATTTGTTGACGCAGAGCCCATCCTGCGAAGCACACTTGTTGACGCAGAGCCCATCCTGCGAGGCACACTTGTTGACGCAGAGCCCATCCTGCGAAGCACACTTGTTGACGCAGAGCCCATCCTGCGAGGCACACTTGTTCACGCAGAGCCCATCCTGCGAGGCACACTTGTTGACGCAGAGCCCATCCTGCGGAGACTCTTGGTGTCGCAGATGTCCCTGCGAGGCGCTTTGTTGACGCAGGACCTAGGCTGCGGAGAACTTGGTAATGCAGCGGTCTCCTGCAGAGAACTTGTTAACGCAGCGGTCTCCTGCGGGTCTCACTTGTCATCACAGCGCCCCCCTGCGAGGTAGTCTTGTTGACGCAGCACCTCCCTGCGAGGATTATTGTTGACGCAGACCTATCCTGCGGGGTAGTCTTGTTTTCGCAGCACCCCCTGCGAGGATTATTGTTCACGCAGACCTATCCTGCGAGGTAGTCTTGTTTTCGCAGCACCTCCCTGCGAGGATTATTGTTGACGCAGACCTATCCTGCGAGGTAGTCTTGTTTTCGCAGCACCTCCCTGCGAGGATTGTTGTTGACGCAGACCTGTCCTGCGAGGTAGTCTTGTTTTCGCAGCACCTCCCTGCGAGGATTGTTGTTGACGCAGACCTATCCTGCGAGGTAGTCTTGTTTTCGCAGCACCCCCTGCGAGGATTGTTGTTGACGCAGACCTATCCTGCGAGGTAGTCTTGTTTTCGCAGCACCTCCCTGCGAGGATTGTTGTTCACGCAGACCTATCCTGCGAAGCACCTTTTTACGCTCGCGGGGCTCATGGCAGCGAGGGAGCACAGTCTTACATCGCTGGGCTCGTGGCAGCGACAGCCGTGGTCACGGAAGCTCTCAAGCCCGCAGGCAAGAGAGGGACACTATGATGCATCAAAGAGTGAGGACCAAAGTGTGAGGATGGAAGTCCTGAGAATTTTGCGCTGGGAATCCGACCCCTTTTATAATTTTTCGGTCAAGTCTCTACCATGGAACCATTGCGCCGAGGGTAGCGAGAATCACTGTCCTGGTTGGCGCTGAAGCAAGTCGAACGACGTTGAAACGGTGTCTGGACACCTTGTGGCCCGCAGATTCATGTTTCGACCTGGGACCATTTCTCTCAAATCTTGCGTTGAGTATGGTGAACCGCTTTCATCAACTGTTGAAAGAAAGCAACGCCGCAAAAATGTGATTCCTACATATTGTTGAGTTTGCAATTAAATCGCTCAAGCGGTGGCACCCTACATCTGCCCGTTTAGCCACGGTCACCGTCTCTTTCATGAGGGTTGATGTGCTTCAACAGATGCCAAAATAATAGGTTGGAAAATTTCTGGTTGACAGAAACGCTGGACTGTACCTGCGGTTGGCCGGAGGATCCTTTGGTCTCGCTCGAATCAATTCTGCTCATCCTTGGCCCCGCGCCGCTGAATGTTGTTTCTTCCCTGTCTACTCGTAGCCAGCTAATATTGCTTTTACTAGAATCTCTACTCCCTGGCCGCACAGATATTGACATACTCTCAAGCTCAGGATGAGGATTGTCCTTCTTCGGGAGGGCATAACCAAAAGCCCAGAGCTTATTGGAAAGCCTTCATAGGAAACCGGGCCTAGGACAACCATGTAAAATGTGCAACCAGGCCCACGAGCTAGGTTCTCGTGATCCCCGGCCCTCGCAAGATTGCAACACTCCTAACACACTGATGAGACTCTGGATAGAAATAGCACTCCGACGGACCAATCAAACACAATGCGCGAATTTAGACAGACGCAGGTACGGTTCTGCGATGCAGATCCCAGCGACGACCCACGGGACACTACTTCAAGGAGGTTCTATTTATGGCCCGGAGAAGAAGTGAAGGATTTGCAAAGGTCCAGACCGATCCACAAGCCCAAACTTGACGGCCGTCAGTGACCGATGGAAAAGGACTTTGTTGCTTAGGAGGTACGGCCGAGGTACGGTCCAGGCAGGTGAGGTATTTGGAATATCACGCGGAATTCTGGCAACAGAATGGTAGGCTAAATCCCGATCCGTGGTTATACTTTCCTGGTTCCTGTCACAGGAGAATAATTCTCCTGTCAAGTGGCAAGTTGCTCCTTGTCTATCAGGTCTGTCGAACGTTCTAGAAGTTTTGACTTCTGTCCTGCATAAAGCTTTCCTAGATATTATACTCTCTTTGAATCCGACACAACCCCATCATCAGCCGAACTCAATTACCAGTTCGGTATGTCTAGCAGACAGCTTGTAGACTATGCCAATCATGGACACACCACATGAGCTTATGTAAAAATATCTCCGGTTTTTGCACTAAAACCGAGGAACCGATTGGCTGCCGGAAATGGGTTGAGGTTGTGGGCCGGCCCTCCTGCGGCCCCTAAACTTTATCTCAATTACCCTCCGTATCTTGATTACGACTGTAGCGAGAGAGAATCTTTCTGGTACACTGCTGGTCTCTTCGAGTTCCCCGTACATGGGCAGGTCGAGACTGTCGTGAATCTGCCCCAATTCTCTGGGCTTCTCTTTTGGGCTGTAGGGCTTAATCACGAGCAACCTAGAAAGCAAGTGGGGCAGCAGCCCGGGCCTGAATCCTTCATGACGACCGCATTCTCTCACCGAGCAGGCGATTCCATGGGTCATCCAAACTTAGCAGTCGAATGATTTGCGGTTCCGCTAATGATCGTCAGCTGCCCTCGTGATTCCACGGTCTCTGTCAAACTAATTTCCTCCTGACTTGGGTGTAGGTCAAAACAAATCGTACGCTTCACCCCAAAAATTGCCCTGCTTTCGACCATCGATCCTATCAAATCCAAGCAGACGTATTACCTTGAGCCAACAAGAATGCCGTATTTCCATTTTCCCAGAGCCCCCTTGCTACCATGTCCTGTCTCCCTACGGGACCACTCATAGTATCGTAAATCCTTACACGCTGTCAGCAGTACTTACCGGGCCACATAACACTCCGATGAAATCCTGCTGGTTATGCATGACAAGGATGAAAATGTGTATGCGGGCCTGTTCCAAGGGCACCACCATCGTGCTCGAGTCCTTTGACTTTGGGGCATCCTCTATATTATTGTAATTCCAAAGGGCGATTGCTACTCCGTACATGGAACGATATACTACCACGCTTATATTCCTCATGCCGAGGCTTCATTGCTGATCACCGCCTTCGACGTAGGAACATGCACTAGGACTAGTTTATCAAGATAGTTGGCCACTGTTCCTTGGACATCGCAATGTAGCGATCCAGCCGAGGAATGCTGCTAAAGTGCAGCTCTGTTCGCCGGTATCTCAGCTTACTAGCAGCACAGACACGATGCACATAGTCCCACCTCCAGGATGACGACCGTGTTCTTTTAGGCTGGCACGGAAGCGGTGCTGGCTGTGCTGGACCCTAACAGATCATTCTGATTTCTCCTCCGGGCTAAAATTCAAACCTCCTTGATCCACTGTCCCTTGGACCGACGATGAGATTCCAACTGTCGGTCCACATGCAAGCGCAGTATTTTCAACCACTTAACAAATCATTTCACGTCCGTTTATCCCGAGAAACACGTCAATAAAACGTCGTATTTGGACATCAAGATATTAAAACTAGTCCACTTACAAATTGTACATTTCCTCAATCGGGCGAAGAACTCTCTGCGTGTGTTTCGGCAGCAACAGGAATCGGTCTTTAAGACCTTCGAGGCGCATTCTTGGCAAGAAGCTTGGTTTTTGAAATTTCGTCTCGGCCGCGCTCGACGGCGCTCTGACTTTGGGAGTCTATCTTCCAGGAACTTCAAGAGATGGCGAAGCTTCTCCGCCCGTGAAGATCCACCGATACAGAGATAGAATTCAATGGTGGCGCGGTTCATTTGGAGGAGCGATTCGCGATCCTGTGAAAGACGGTGGACAGCAGCGTGGCGGATGCCGGAAACCAATCTTTGCCATTTTTATATGGTGTTAGCGGCTTGACGGCAAGAGCTACACTGTATCTTGTCCCGATGTTTCACCAAGAATTTCAAAAAACTGTGTAGCTCCAGTTCCTCTGGGCATGTCCACCCAACCATGAGAGACTCCTCTAAAAGCCATTTGTGAACGAATTGAAATGCATCGAATTCAAGATGTCGCTGTATGGCTTGGAGAATAAGATTCTGTGCGCGGAAAGGGATGCTTGTCATTGGAACTCCGAGAAGTGAGTATAGACCTTGTAAAACTGTTGTTCGAGCCAGTAGATTAATCGGCGCGCTCTCCTAAATTTGTAGCTTGAACTTAGTGAAGATGGTATCGATCTTCCCTTGGCAACATTCAATCAACTGTTTTACCAGTCTGAGAGCAGTGCGTTAGTGACAACTTCCTAATTGAGAAGACTTGTCGTGAGTTCTTACCGCTTACTCACAGGATGCGATAGCCAAGGAGATCTTCGCAAAATTGAAGTCGCTTGTTCAGGCATCCAGAGCAAGTCTCCGTGGTTAGGGGCCGGTTGGAAAGATTGGGTGGGATCTGCCATTGCACCGAGAGGTCTGAGCCATTCCATTGACAGATATTGACTCGGTAGTAACGGCGCTACGCAGTAGCCGGGAAGTCTCGGCTCCGTTTCAATTCTGAATCTCGAATAATTTCCTCGGTGTCCTTAACGGGGCCTTACGAAACAAAGTTTATATTTTACCGAAGTAACGCAGTTAGCGTAGCATTTGTGGAACAATAACTTATTGTACTATTGTCTTTATATGCACGTTAGCTTGACCGGCTGGCTTATACTATCACGGCGTTTTCGGGATAGGCCGGGACAATGACAAAATGACTAGATAATGTGCCTCTTAACTTGATCCGTAAAGTAATGAAATTTAAGTAGTTTGGGCAGATTGGCGGATACTCCTAGGGCCACCATCTGGCTCTCATCTGTGCTTCAAGTTAGGCCGCCACTTGGAGCTAAGCTCGGCACATTCAACGAATAGCTGCGTGCTTCTTCTATTGACAAGTTGTCAGCAAGTGGGTCTAGTTTGGGACTGTCAAGCCATCATTCGCCCCGTACCGATCCGCAACCCCTCTTTCTCACCGCCTTGAAAAGCTTGCTAAAGCTTAGCATCAAGTTTATTCCGAAAGTCTTGTAGCACGTGTATGATGGTTGTATTGTTAGTAGAGTTATGTGGGTCACGACCCAGCATTATAGATACAGGTCTAACCCTAATGCATGAGTAGTGCGTATCAGGGTGACAGGACGACACCATCAGTACAGGGGATCCAAGAGAAACCATCTTGTGGGTGTGTGCAGGACTGTATTTGATCGAGCAAGCGAAATCAGTAATGGCTACTTCTAGGTGACTTCAGTCTATTGAGCCACGCATTAGG